GTCAGTTTCTGTTTTGCAAATGCCGTAGAAGAGTGAAGGTTCATAGTGAAAGCATAAGAACTGATGAGTAGAGATACTAAATTCACAAAGAGGATTTCTTTGGCGATGGAGGGGAAGCAAGCACTTCCTCTCATGTAGAAAGGGAATTCAGATGAGCAAGAATTATGCTAGCAGAAGCTCCCATTTACATAGAAGCTGAAGCTCACAGGTAGTGACTCTGTAGAGTCACAGAGCCTATCAGTGGCCAAGCAAAGACTCTGGGTAGCGACTACTCTGATATTGACCATTAGTGAGTGCTGCCGCATGCCAGGCACTGTAACTTATCCTAATTTAGCCCCCACCTACTCAGCCATATACTGCACAATATAATCTCCACTTATCTAATGTTCAGAGAGGGCAAGAGGCCAAGATCACAGAGCCATGGAGTGGCAGTGGTGGGTGTCAATCACATTGTCCTCTGCTTCCCAACACTCCTGAAGTCCTAGTATGGGATAAGGCAGCTGAAGAAAAGCCGGGGGACATGTTCACTCAGGCATCAAGAAGGAGCTGAGGCTGGCATGGTAATAAACTACAGGGCTGCAGAAGGCAAAGGCAGAGACACTACTGAAATGCCTGCCTGGCAGTGCGTGCAGCAGCTGACGGAACCCACCCGCTGCTCGGCCTGGTGGGCCTGGGCTCCATCCAGCACGGCGGAGCCTGTAAAGCAGGGAAAATGGGCCCGGAAGTCACTGTCCCCACCAACAAAGCCACCATTCAGAGGCCCTCCAAGTGGCTGTTCTGGGGACAGTGACCCTGACTCGCACTTGGGCTCCTCTAACTGTTTCTCTCCAGGGTCAGCAGGGGCCCTGTGACCTGCAGCCAGCCATGCCAGACCTGTCCCAGATGACCTGGGCTGCTATTGAGCCCTCAGTCTTGCAGAGATAGGGACACACACATGCGCCTGGTGTAACCGCAGACACAGGGGGCCGCCCCCAACTCACACTGTCCACGAGGGTCTTTGAAGCTCCACCCCTGTACCCTCCGTCTTAACCCCCTTGAGCCAGATCGCCGCCTTCTTCAAATGTGAAGCTGTACACTGGAGGAGGGAGGGGGCCGCAGGGTTCAGGAAAAAAACAAACAGGACTCCTTGTTAAATTTACATCTCAGATACATAAAAAGTAACCGTTTCATGTAAGAATGCCCCCTGAGTATCTGGAACATGTTTGTACACCAAATAGTATTGCTATTCGTATGCAGTTTGGTGGACCTGGTGTCCTGTGGCTTAAGTGACAACCCCAAGTGGCCAAGCATGAGTAGCAAAGGAGGTGTCCAGAAGAACAAGTCCTCAAAACCAAAAAGGAGCTGAGAGGGTTAAGGGAGGGATGCTTTCTACTCTCACACCAGAAATTCCATTCTCCCAGAGATTCCAAACCCATTTTATCTGAGTTCTTTAGTACTGTGCGCACAGGATCTGTCTGTCCCACTTACAGATCAGCAAACATAAGGTCTGCAAACCAAGGGATCCGTTGCATGGCCCACGGCCACTTATATCTGAGGATCATCAGGTGCCACTGCTTCAATGCCATACTTTTCACCTGCTGCTAATAATTTTTACAGGACACCCTTACAGTTTTTACAGGATACACATAAAGAAGGTCCCACAGTCTTCTAGTCTTTTCTAACACATTTATAAAGAAGCAAGCTCATAAGACACATATTCACAAAATATAACTATCAATTTACAGAAAAGGCCTCGGCCTCTTCCTTTCTTTTGGCCGCTTCCCCCAACTGAATGCACCGCCATGTAGGTCCTGGCTGGGGTTCTAGTTCCCAATGAAAAAGCTGAAAAAGGCCTCACAGAGGGAAGGGCCGCAAGCCCCCCAAGAGGAGAAGGGCACACCACTCTCAGATGAGGGAGGTCACAGATGCCAGACCCCACAGAATCTTAATGGTGACCCAAGAAAGCAAGCACCCTCTCTCTCACTACTCTGATATCCCACAGTCCTTGCATCTTGCCCAGAAAACATACTTGGTTTAATGTACTTTTGGGGAAAAAAACTTAGAAAGTCATTCATTAAGTGGACAGTGGGAAACACTTTTCTCCCACCCCCCCTTCAAGCCTTGAGCATTCACAGCACACAATAGAAAGGAAACAGCCATAAAAATGACTTGACGTATGCCTGTTTGAAGTACAGTGACCGTGGGACAAGTGACTATAAAAAATGACACAGTGGGGGTGATTCCAAATCTATTCTGGCTTGGTTAATTTCCAGACCCAGCAGCACTTGCCTAACCAGTCACGTTGCGCTTTAGTTTAATGCTGCTTGCTGTTGTTTCCAGTTAGCCCTTTTCGCCAGCAGAATGCACGAGGCTACGTAACTTACGCCCAGCATGCTTTGCCATTCCAGAAGAGCGCTTGCTGGTCTGAGCACAGTGAATCCCAGGATGGGATGGGCCAGTGAGGTGGCTGGATACAGGCCCTCAAAAGCAGTGAGTCTCAAGAGGCGGAGGCCAGCTCTACCCTACACTCACCACTTCCATTCCCATCCTCTGTCTTCTCTCACCCCTCCTCTCTGTGACCCTCTGAGCAGCAGACCACTAACACCCATCTTCCAGTCATCAGAGTTTGCTGGGGAAGAAGAAACCACACTTCACTCCTTGTCTGCCGCAGCTGGCACCAAACCATCTTCAGCCTCAGTAAATCCTGCAAGTGCAAACTTCAAATGCCAATTCTCTGGCGGCAGCAGGATGCAGAGCAATCATTGCAGCCTGAGTTATTAGAGTCTCTGGGGAGCATTCAGCCAGGGTGGGGGGAGCGAGCGCGTCCAAGAGTGTCAGTGTCTGTTGATGCCGCACATCCAGGCCCCATCACTGGCCTTCTTGGCCTCTGCCAGCAACAGGGCTCCCACGGTTCACACTGTACACAGCACTAACTACAAATTCTGAAGGTGAGAAAAACTCATTTCATATTTTAATCGAACATCTTTCAGATTTTCTTTCAGGAAGGCTAGACAATTAGGCTGATTTAAGTTGTACTATTTATAAAACCTAGACCTGCAGAAAACATAAATTCTGGCCAATATTATCTAAATGCAGTGATGTGGTTTCCAGGTTTCCACTTAGATGACAGGAGAAGATTCCAACCAGCGTTCACAGGCATCCCAGTCTGGGGCTAGCATTTACTAATGAGCTCTGGGAGCCATCCAGGACCGTGGGCCTTCCAGAGTCCCAGAGTTCTGTGCAGACACAAGCTTCTGGCCTAGGGAGGAGGGAGGATCAAAGAGCTGTGGCCACCAATGACGGAGCTGAGGGAGGAGGTCTCAGAGCACATCTGCTGCCCCTTGCAGAGGGTGCCAAGGCCCGAAGGCGGTCAGTGCAGAGCTGGACCCACACCCAGGACCTCATGTTTAAAGCTCCATCTTCCCCTCCCTGGGCTGGCTGAGACCCCAGCACAAGCACACCTGTGCAAGCCAGAGACCAGGACCAGAGTTGGCTGTAGTCAAGATGGCACGGTGTGCCCAGGCCTCTCCTTCCGATCCACCTGTGACTCTGGGGCACTCAGAGGAGGACTATCACAGAGAATAGCCCACAAGACTGGCGTTATCAGCACATTCAAAGGTCTTGCAGGAATTTCCCGTTGTGTGATCTGGGGCTTTCGAACAGCAGCCTCCACACTTGCCCTCCCTCCAGGGGAAGCTCACATCTGAGCAGTGAGCAGCCTGTGCCGCACAGCCCTCTGCGACACGGGCCCTGGGCCAGGGAGCACACACAAGGGGCTGATGGAGAACACATGGCCTGCAAGCCCCAGGACACTGGCGCCCAGCTCGCTTTGCCACACTCAGGCCACTCAGGCACTGGGCAGCAGTTGCTCCGCCGGCCAGAGGGTGAGTCAGGAATGTGGACCACCCGGGTCCAGGGCCAGCGGCTTGTGAACAGCAACCTGCTTCTGCTATGTCTTCCCCACACCTCTATAACAGTATGAATAAGACATACAACACACAAAAATCCACATGCACCGAGTACACTACCACCTCGGTGGAGAAATAAAGTACAGTCCCTCTCACAGCCCCAGGTCTGTGGCTGGCTTCCGGATCACCTCCCTGGTTTTCCCTGCCAGTTTGGCACTTGTGGATGGATCACCAAAGTCACTGTTTAACCTCTACCTGGCATCACATGTAGTGACCATTTGCTCATTTATGTTGCAGGGTTCTCAACTAGGTATATGCATTTTTTATCCATCTAGTCTTCTGCCCAGAACATATAAACTGTTTTTAGTTTGGGGCTACAGCAAATGACACTGTAGAAGAAAATCTTCCTGAACATATCTCTCGGCTCCTGGACACTGACGTTTCTGTCACCAACATCAACAATGCTAGGCCACCTTGTACACAAAGAGCCACCTTGCCTGGACCACTCCTGCGAATCTGAGCCCCGAGGAGCTGTCTCCCCTGCACCCCCAAAAGCCCCTCTCATCAATTTCTTCTTACGCACAATGGCGGTCATGGTGATTCCAGGGCTGAGAAAGCCCAGCCAGTCACTAGAATGGAGGTAAAATCCGGATGCCAGCTGTGTCAGACAGAGCCCAGATTAGTAACTTTTTAAAAATTCTCAGCTTGAGACTGGGAGTGGTGGCACGCACCTGTAATCCCAGCTCCTGGGAGGCTGTAAATAGATGAACACTACGAGTCCAATCTAATACTGAGACCCTGGACACCCTGTAGACCCTTCCCTAAAATACAAAAAATACAAAACAAAACAAAAAAAAAATTCTGAGCTTAATCAGAACCCACCACCATAACCACTGGGTTTTCAGAAGAAAAGTGTCACAAACTCCCCCAAACTAATGAGGCAGCATCCTTGGCAGGGGAGCATGCTATCAATTGTGGACTGTAAGTACAAACACATGCCGGAGACACGAAGCACAGGAAGACCACACTCTGGTGCATCCAATCTGCTGTGGATGGCAGAGCACAGGATGGGGTAGGAGGGGTCCGGACGCTGCCCCTGAAGCCGCTGCCTACCTGTACACGGGCTGCATCTCCCTGGCTATGCCAATGATAGCATCTGGCAGGAAATTGTCAAACTCCTCAAACAACTCCCGGATGTTGGTCTTATACTTTAGGTCGAGGTCCAGCTGAATGATCCGCAGGATCTCTGGAGGATGAAAAGAAAAGGCAGTCAGGTCAAGGGTGGCGGCACAGGCCTAAAATCCCAGCTGCTTGGGGGACTGAGGCAGGAGGACTATGAGTTCGAGGACAGCCTGGGCAACATGGTAAAACCTTGTTTCAAACAAGCAACCAAAAAAGGACAATAAGATACAGGCACACACACCTCCTGGGAGGCTCAACCAGTGACAGAAGATAAAGGAGGGAGTCCAGAGAAGGGCTTACTGTTGCTAAGTGATACAAAGTAACTGCTAGAAATAAAGGCCCTGGCCTTTCACCAGCCAGCACCCTGTCTGCATTCAGACCTCTCTGCTTGCCACAGCTTGCTTTCTACCTGCAGATCCATTTTATTTAGAACTAGGTACCTGAGCTCCAGCCTAGGCTTGCTGCCTAAGTGGGAGTATTTATTTTTTATTTTTTAAAAATAATTTTATTGAGAAAGAAGTAGCAATGAGATAGTTTCAAAGCAGGTTAGTAGGACAGTTACAATAATGAATACATTGCATATTGTTGTCTGTAGTGGTTATTCATAGTACAAGATGCAGACATGATATCTTGTCTAAACACTATGAGTTCAAAACTTTCTTCTCATCGAACTAAGAGAAAGTAGCTGCATATCTATGCTATTTTGTATATACAGATATATATATATATATGTGTGTGTGTGTGTGTGTGTGTGTGTGTATTTTTTCACTACAAAATGGTCCTTCATTTATATCATCCTTTTTTGTCTACTTTTGTTAGAGGCGTTTGATATTCGGACAGATACTGATGTTAAGCTCAACAGCCTACATTCTCGGGTACTATCATTAAGCTTGTCTTCTGGAGGGTTAAGAACTTAAGTTTACAGACTAAAAAATTAGAGAAAAAGAAGGACTACAAGGACAGCCAAAATTTTGGCCCTAGCCCTTCAAGGTCAGTGAGGACTCTGGACATAGGAGAACCTGTACTATATATAATACCCTGTAACTCAGTGATGCCCCAAATTTTCTGATTAAGTAGGAATATTAACAGGGCACCAACTTGCTCTTGAAAATCTGCTTTGGATGACCCATATGTGGACACCCTACTGGAGACTCAAAATACCCAGGTAGTTTCTCTTTGGGGAGCAGAGGGTAAATGCCCCACAGAAGAGAAAGACGACACCATCTTCTTAGGCCCTCCTAGGACAGCTGCAAACACATCTTAGCTTCTCAAGTCAAGATGAAGACCTGGAGGCACTCAGCAGAAAGCCCTCGGATACCAACATGTTGCTAAGGTGCTGTCCACAAGACGGAAGGAGCCCTCATTACCAGTCTCCTGCAACCTAGCACACGAGGGCTTTTTGCCCCAGATGGCTTGTGGCTGAGGAGCAGAGGGAGGGGGCAGAGTTCAGGCAGGAGCAGGGGAGAGGCACGAGTTAGTTCATCCCCGTGGCCTTCGCCACTCTGCCTGACCGAGCTCCTGCGGCGTCAGGGCCAGGAGGGGCACCAGCAGGCTGGGCCCTGGCCTCCACCTGGGTTGGGCAGTGACTCCAAGCAGAGAGAAGCATGAGTGCTGATGCATGAACTAGCAGAACACCGCCCGGGTTCCCACGGGGGCAGCTGGACCCACTACTGGGTACCAAGGTGGAAGCCCGGCCTGGGAACACACGCCACTTCCAGTCTGGGCACTGACTAATTCAGTGATAAGGAAACTTAGTTTACTTTAGTCAACATTGGCTGCCTCATTTCTGAGAGGCCAGGATGAGACAGTGTGTGGGAAACATCTCCTAGGCTGTAGGAATCCAGAGACTGGACAGAAGGGACCTCGCTAAGGCTCGAAGCAGTCAAAGGACACTTCCTGGAGGAGAAGGACTCAGTCTAGGCCTTAAGCATAGGTAGGAATGGAGCAGGGAAGGACCGCCAACACCCACTCCAGAAGCTGGGCTCTCCCTGTTGGTCGCTGCTGTCCTTTGTTACCTGCCCAGCAGCCAAGAGGAGTACAGCTCTGTGAGTGCAGGCCCCTGCAGAAGCCTTCTGAGGGCCTGCCCACATCTCTGGCCTCTTGCCTCCACCCGTCGTGCAGGGATTGGCTTAAAGCAAACACTCACGGATGTTTGTGGAACTCAATAGCTATTCTCCAAATTAGTTTAGGGGGAAATCACAGCCTAGGATTCAAGAAAAGCTGACTCACTTGTTACTTGTCCCATTTTCCTTTGTGATGCAGGAACAAACCTGACTTAACATTCTTCATGACTCTTGTAGAAAAGAAAAAGCTATACGAACCCAACTGGCCTGGCAGAGGAAAGAGGTGACGCCAGGTTGCTGTGTCCCTAGCAGGAAAGAGGTACAGGAAGGGGGGTCTACCAGGCGAACATGATCCTTCGGCCTGGGCCATGCTGCTACCCCCACACTCGAGGAGTAAAATGACTATTTCCTTCCTGAACCTCAAAAACAACAATAACAAGAGCAACAACACAGAAGTCAGGAAGGCTGGTAACCCGGGAGTCTGGATGTCTGGAAGCCTTTGTGGTGACTTTGTTGGCCTTCTGGAATCCTGCCCCATGAGGGCTACAAACTAGCAACGGGCGGAAAGGCCTCGATGGTGACCTTAGAAAGACAATGCGGCACAGGAGGGGAAACTGCAGCAGTGATGTGTTGTCAAGGGCTGACTACAGGGGCCTGGTCATTGTCCATGGGACATGTGTTTTCTACCCATTTACAGGGTACAGGAGCACACAGAAGGGTCAGGGACCTTCAGTGAGAAAAAGAATGCTAGGCTTTCTTTTGGTCCATCTCCTGGCCTCAAATGTCATTATCCAGGGCAATTCTTATGCACAGTAAAACAAAAAAGTCCCAACCAGATGGAAAGAGGATGGCACAGCACCTGCAACAGAGGAGCCACATCATCTAGATTCTACAGACAAGGAGGGTAAGGGGGACCAGGGCATTTGGCTAGAAGGTAGAACAGCTTCAAGGACCACTTTGAATAACATCAATGATGGCCACATGAAAACATCATTCTGATTATTTTTAAGGATCCTGCATTGCCCAGGCAGTAGTTTATTTTTCATAACTGCCCAATATGTTAAGTAGAGTTGTTCCCATTTATAGATGAAGAAAGTGAGGCTCAGAGAGGTTAGAAACATTAGCCTAAGCCCACAGGACGGGTTAGCATTGGAGTGGGATTGGAACCTCGGTCAGCTTGACTTGAAAGCTGGATCATGTCACACTCCCTCCACGCACCTGACTGCCCTCTGATCAGAGAAGCAGGGTGCACCTCTGCTTCTACCACAGGCCCTGGAGAAAAAGAATGCCAGGGCAGAACAAGAGGCTGGCCAATGCAGACAGTAAGGAAAGAAAACGGGGCGTTGACGGCAACTTGACTGTAACTCAAGAAATGATCGATGGTAAGAAAAGCCTCAGCCATGTGGTGTCACTGCAGGGAAGCTCTGGTGCGTGCTCCGGGCTTACAAGGCATCCAAGTCCTATCTGTTCTGCAAGCAGCAGCCAAAAGGCCTCCCTTCCCAGTCACCTGCACAGGTGGAACCATGGCCTCCTGCACTATGCCCAAGCACTTGCCTGGATCCTGCCGTCTGGGACCACTACTTCCCCTGCGCCTGTGCAGAGAGCAAGCCCCATGCCTGTAGACTGAACTCTGGAGTCCAGGAATGCACTATCCAGGAGGCAGAGCTCGAGTGCTTCCTACAGACTCCCATGCCCTCTTAATAAGCCTCTCCATAAGCCCAAGTACTTTCCCTGCAACTTACAGACTGGCTGGGAGTGACCCGGGACACTGGAAGATGAGAGGCTTTCATCCACGAGGTATGATCGATGCATACAGTGAATGCTTGGCTTTAAAAAAAAAAAAAAAAAAAACTTATTACAGTAAAAGGCACATTGCTGTTAATAGCACCCCCCCCAAAAAAAAATCCTTCCCCTTGGTCCAAACACTTATTCCATCATCCTTGCCACTATCTAGAGCAGTTCTGAGAGTCCCCTCAGTACTTTTAGTTGTCTGTTGTGGCTGGCTCAGTGTCCTGAGTAGATGCAAAATGTTGATCCTTGCTGGTCATTTTGACTTTGGGGAAGAGCCAGGAGAGCTGCATGGTGCCAGATCCAGTAAATAAGGTAGATGAGGCTGGGCAGGGTGGCACACGCCTGTAATCCCAGCGCTTGGGAGGCTGAGGCAGGAGGATCACTGTGAATTTGAGGTCAGTCTGGGCTATAAAGTGAGCTCAAGGCTAGCCTAAACTGCGTAGTGAGCCTCTGTCTCAAAGGGACAAAAATAAATAAATAGTGGATGAAGACATAGAGTCATGTTTTTACACGTCTGCCTTTCCACTGAATGGCACTCAGAGGCAGTGTCATATTTTTATCATACCCAATATTTATGGCTGCTTGGTCCTGAAATGGCTTGGTGGGGGGCTGCTCTCACAGCTGTCAGCATTTCCTCTGGGGCCTCCCTGAATGAGGTCACACATGAAGAAGGAGAGCGGCGCTGCTCACCGTGCTGACGTGCTGACGTGATCCTTTACCCATGTAAGATGACAGCCCAGGCAGAAGTGGGATGGCCTTCTGCTCAGCCTGCGCTGTCACCCAGGCCTAGGCCCAAAGGTTATCCTCTTATGAAATTATGAAATAAAATGCCAAGTTGTAAATGTCACTGCTGAAAAGAGGAAGGCGCTTACTAGGAACGCTGCCATTTATTAGGATGAGATGATTTCAAGGGACCTGTTCCTTTGTTCACTGGTTCTGGTAGAGCCGGCTCTCCATGGGAGCTACATCTGGAAAGTTTATACAAAAGGCTGAAAGATGATTGGTGATCTAAAATGAGATTGCCAGATGGGAAATGACAGCCACATACATGGCCCGGAGAAGATGTTGGTTGGGAAACAGCTGAGAGCACACAGAAGGGATCCTGAAATGAAAGGAAAGAATGAATGAGCTCATTGCTCACGCTCTTGTGGCTGATTAGGCTCCCTCCTGTCCTCCCTCAAGGAGGCTGATGGACTCCTAGAGAGGAGCA